CATTAGAGCACCAGCACACTCATGTGTAGATTTGTTTTCCATTTAGTCACAGCTCTCTTCTCTTTTTGTAAGTACTGCACTCTCGCCTGAACTTGGCTAAGCTACGGTGAATGCCTCTGACAGCATTTGCACGCTAAAAAACTGCCCACAAAAAAACCCCAGTGACCCCAGGAATCCAAGGCTGTGCTTCTGGCTCGGACGTGGTTGGTCTGCTCCTTCACTTTGTGACTTCTTTGGCGTGCAGTGAATCTTGGGATAGGTCGAGTCTTCTTTATACTACTCCTGATGCAGCCTTGGAAGGATTTGCAATCAAATAAGGACACAGCCATAGTCTGAATTCCCACGCTAATGTCAATAAGCATGGGAATTCAGACCATGCAGTGATTTAATGTTTTCCGATTGCAAGAGTGAAGTCTAAATCCTGATTTTGTGCACAGTTTACATATCTATACTTGAAATTCACTGCACAGAAAACTCAAAACCATCCAAAGCCAACTGCTAAATATTAAATAGGAGATGAAAGATGCTGTTTGCACACAGTCCTCACACTTATGTAGGTGTATTTTTTATTGTTTTCTGATGTTTATTCTTGTTTCCACCAGCAGTTGTGATCCCTCTCACTGACTCAGAGCACAAAATGCTGCCACTGCACTTTGCTGTGGATCCAGGGAAGGACTGGGAGTGGGGGAAAGATGACACAGACAACGTGATGCTAGCAAGGTACAAAAAGATTTTACTTTTTTAAAATCCAGCTTTGGTTGTCTGTTCTGTTTGGTTTGTCACTTACAAAGGACACTGTTAACAACTAGAGTGGCACATGCTCACTTGTGCGTGCTTGCCCTTATCGACAGCTGTCTCTTTAACACGAGTCTCAGTGTGTAGGGATTGACTGCTGACTCCAGATTAGTGATAATTAGATTAGCTCAGACGCTTCTCTGTGAATGAACCAGAGGAAGGAGCACTAAAATAGCCGCTCTGCAAAAAAAAAAAAAAACCTTCCACCCTATTTACGTCAGTGGGTGACACCAGAGGTCTTATTCAGATGAAACGGCGAGCTGAGATGATGTTATGCGAGTGGCTGTTAACATTGTTTGAAAAGGTCATTGACTTAAAAGGCCATAGCACAACAAGAGTATACGACAATACGATGCTTTTAGTGATTTTGCCATTTACTCCACCATTTAGATCCATGTGAGTCTTTACTTACTTTATTTTATTTTAACTTTACCTTTAAAGAGCACATTCTCATTATTTCCAGCTCCGTCTTTGTACTCGGAGACTCTGACAGAGCAGGTTTCTATGAGTCACTGTTTGGATTAATTCCTTATTTTGTACAGGAGCTTATTTTAAAGTGACTTTTGGTTACACTTTATAATACCCATCATTAGTTGTGAGTTGATAGGCAGTTAGAAAGATGGCTTATCTGAGTGAAAGGGCAGGTTTACAAGATGGTAATAAGACCTGCTATGATGTGTGGTTTGGTCATGGTGGCACTAAAAAGAGGAAAAAAAGAGGAGGCAAAGATGTTAAGATTTTTACTTGGAGTGAGCAGGAATGACAGGATTAGAAGTCGGTGCAGGGACGGCTCGGGTCGAGCGAGGAGGGACAGTGGATATATTAGACAGATGATGTACATGGAGCTTCCTGGTAGGAGGAGAAAAGAACACCTCAGATAAGATTCATGGATACAGTGACGGAGGACATGCAGACTGTTGGCGTGACAGAGGAGGATGCTAAGGGCAGGGTGAGATGGAGGCGAGTCTTCAAGGCAAATTTTGATGACATGCACACACGGTTTATATGTCACGTACTTGAAGCTATTTGCTTGTTTATGATTGTAAAACATGGGGGGGAAAAGACATCTGTCTTTTTAACATTTGTAAAACAAGTAATAGTAATATAAATTTCAGTTTTTTAAAAGCCAACCAAAATTATATTTATAGATGCACTGCAGTGTTTAGCTGCCCTCAGTCTGTTATGCTGTTATTAATAGAAATAGAAATAATAGAAATATCCTTTATTGTTCCTCATTGGGGAAATTCATGTGTTCCAGTAGGAAAGTGAAAAATGGAGTATGCAGATTCACACACAAGTAACGAATATAAAATAAAATAAAATAGAAGAAATAAGACAGTACAGGGCGAATTTACAACAAAATAAAAAAAAAATACAGTGAAATTGTAACAAGTAACAATTTACTTGTTACTGTTTATTTATGAGCAATTAAAAGTATTACCCAGCTTTCTTATGATTAACGACAATGCTGCGTATCCGAGGTGACCATATTAGAAACATTGTTGCTTAATGACATCATTCAGAACCGAAAATGGAAAAAAAAACATCAGAAACTGAACATTTACAGCAGCTGAAGCCTGAACTTTAGGCTCACCAGGGATTACTTATACGTATGCCAACCTCCTTATTTGATAGATACAGCTGTAGATGTAGGTTCACTCTATGAAGACAACTGACTGGCATTTATCACATGAAACAACTTATGTTCTGTTTTTATGCTTTCACATCTTGTTCTCGCCGTAAGACCTAAATCTCTCGTCACCGCTGTGTTTTTGTTGTTCACTTCCCTTTGCTGCTTGTTTTGTATCTATGTTTCTGCGTGTTATTAGGATGCTTTAGAATCCAGCTCATGACTGTTGTCTGTGTAATGACAAAAACGCTGTTACATTATAAAAATAACGTGATCGGCTACCCAAACAACAACAGCAATTACTTTTCCATTAGCACAGGAAGCCCTGGCAGAAAGTTCCCTCTCACTGAACTTTACCTTGTTTTTCTCTCTCTCCCTTTCCTTCCCCCTTCGACCCAGCGTGGCTCTTTCTTTGGAGGCCAAGCTCCAGATGTTGCACAGCTACATGACGGTCACCTGGCTGCCCCTGCCATGCGAGGTAAGGATTTTTAATCCAGCGCTTCTTGTGAAATAACTGACAAGTTAGCTGAGGAAGTCGGCTCAGAATTGAAGACGTCTTTAATACTTTGCCAGACAAATCTGGTTTTGGGTTATTAGAAAAGGAACTAAATCCTGATATAATCAGATAAATGCTTCAGGGGTTGGTGATGAAGGTTAATTCCTTCAATTATTACAAACAAGAGCAGAATTTCTTTCCTTTTCCTTTGGGCCAGCGCTCCCTCTGACTGCTGTATATGTGAAAACAAACAACAGTGGCCCGTTCAGGTCAAAAAGTCACACCATGCAAACACTATCACAAAGCTCCTCTTGTGTCCCATGTGGTAACGTCAGGAAGCTCGGACGAGCAAGTTCATAGCAGTTTCATGGTTACGCTACAAGGAATGGCAGCTTACACGAAGCCCTGTGTTGTTAGAGGGAGTTTTTCTGTTTCCACAGGATAGCCATGTGATGGCATAGTTTCTGAAAAATGGTGCATTTATCTGATTTCAGTCACTGCATCACTGCAGGTCGTGTTTGTAGAAGTTAAATGACATCTGGACATGTTTTTTCAGCATTTGGGAGCAAAAAAAGAGCTTCTTGAATCACTTTCTTCATACCTTTCTTCTGCCATAAATGTGGTGGACCTTGGTTATATAGTTGTATAATTTTCTCCTACTGGTCTACAATTTTTTTCACTAGAACTTGTTCTGCTATGTTTGTTGCAGCAAGCCCCGCTAGCCCAGCCGGAGTCTCCCACGGCATCAGCTGGAGAAGATGCCCGGTCGCCTCCCGACTCCGGAGAATCGGACAAGGAGTCTGTCAGCAGCAGCTCCAACGGCAACGGAGACACAACCACAGGATCAACAGTCAATGGAGGGGGATCTTTGGCCAAGAACAGCTCCTCCTCTTCATCTAGTTCATCCAGCAGTGGATCAGCAGGGAAGGACAAAACCAAGAAGGAGAAGGACAAGGATAAAGACAAGAAGAGGGCAGACTCTGTGGCCAATAAGCTTGGCAGTTTTGGAAAGAGCCTGGGCAGCAAGTTTAAGAAAAACGTGGGTGGGCTGATGCCAGGAAAAAATGTTGGAGCTGGAGGTGCCAAGCAAGAGGGTGGGGAGAAGAAGAAAGGCTCATTTAGAGGGAGGAAGGGCAGCAAGGATAGCTCGCCTTCAGCCCACGCCTCTGAGGATTCTGGGAAAGGCTCTCCCTCCTCGGGCAGCGAGCGTCTCAATGGAGCCGGGAGCAGCATGAGCAGCAGCGGCGGGAGCAGCACTGAGAGCGAGCCCTACAAGTACAGCGCCGATGTGAAGGTCAGCCTCGGCATCCTGCGGGCCGCCATGCAGGGGGAGAGGAAGTTCATCTTTGCCAGCCTCCTCACCACCAGCAACAGGCAGCCCTTCCAGGAGGAGATGATCCAGCGTTACCTCGCCGATGCAGAGGAGCGCTTCCGGGCTGAGCAGGAACAACAGCGCCGCGAGGCAGAGAGGAAAAGCATCGCTAACAGCCTCCAACCCCCCAAGAAGGAGGTGGTTGGTTGTTCAGAGCTAAGTTACCGGCCTTACGAGCCCAAAGAGGAGCTATCGGAGAACTCGTCGCCTTCCTTCAACACGCTTAAGCTGTCTCCTTTGAGTCCCTCTATGTACTCGGCTGTTGTGCCCATCCCCCGGCCCTCCTTCATTGACCAGCCTCTTCCTGCAGCCCCCCTGACCCAGCATCTTCACATGCATAGCTACGTTGATAATCGACGCCAGCTAGCTGGTGGCTCCTCGGCAATCTCTTACCCTGGCCTCCCCTCGTATGCAACCCTCCCCCGGCACGGCCCCACAGCACAGCCTCCCTCCCATCCCCAGTACAATAACTCGCAAGGCCCCTCCTCCCTCAGTCCTTCCCGCCTCGCGCCCTCATATCCCCCTGAATTCGACCCACCGGACTACCCTGGGGCTGAACTCACCACTGGGAACTACACCAACGGCTTCCGGGACATGAGCTCCAATCTAGACTGTCGGAACGGGCAGCCCCCTGTCAGACACTACTCGTTGGGCAGCGCCAGCGGATTGGCCGGCCTGCAGTCCAGCCGCTGTCGGACACCCAACTGCAACTACTACGGACACCCCGAGACGGGCAACTACTGCTCCTACTGTTACCGGGAAGAGCTGAAGAAGAGGGAGACAGAACCGGCCATCCACAGGTTCTGAGCAGACCCCCGTTGTGGCTTGAATTTGACGAGTGGCCTTTTTCACGACTGGAGCAGATCAGCCTGTGGATGGACGAGGGAAAGGGCAACCGCCTCCCTCATCTTTTATTCTTAGCCGTGTCATTACCTGTTGAAAGTACCAAGCGAGGCTACGTAACTACAGGATACGCAAGGTGGTCTTTGACTGCCAGGGTCACGTTAGACCGTAGAGTAAACTGCACTTCTGTTACATTTTGCTGTGGCTCTTATGCAGGCGTTGTGTACGAGTGTGTGTGTGTGTGTGTGTCTGTGTGTGTGCGCGCGTGCGTGAGAGAGAGAACTACAAACTCTCCTCAAGTCTTGGAGTTGGAACGCCTTGCTACTATCTCCTCCTAGTGGAGCGAATGTATATGGCAGGCATCATACATGACACTCATCAATACATGTACAGAACACACATCCACACTAAGTAATGCTTACACTACAACATAAACAGAGATGCAAGCACAAACGGAAAAGGCGTGAGCGTCTCTGCTCCATTTCTATTCTTCATTAAGGGATGTTTGAAGTCACGTCTGGTTATAAGGTGATTTCAGTGTTACAGACACAGATATTAACACTATTATCATTAGATGCTTGTACCTCGGGAAACAGCACAATTAATCCTCGTCGAGTTGCTTTTTTCTCCTCTTTTGTCGCATAAAATGCACACTGAAACTGTCGTGTGATGCTCATGATAGGCGTTCTGTAGGCTGCTGCGGTGCTAATGTTACAGAACGCGTTTAAGACGACTGCTCTGCACTGCACTCATTCGGGCAAAGTAACTATCACTTAAATAAATCTGCATTTTTGTCCAATGCTGTAAATTGGATTATGAAGATGTCAGCCCCCCCCTTTTTTTTTCTTTAACATTAAGAGCTATTGACCAGGTCACATGATTGACCAGGCATCATAGATCAAAGACAAGATAGGAACATAGTACGATGGTAAGGTACTGTCCCGGTCCAGAGTATTTCTTCTGTTTGTTGGAATGTTTTTCTTTTTGTACTCGGGTCTTCCTGTTTCCTGTTACGATGGTTGATGTTTGTGTGGCCTC